ACTCCATTTCTTCTACAGGATTCTTGCCCACAGTAGTAGATATGATAATTGTCTGAATTGAATTTGCCCATTCCCGTCCATTTTAGTTCACTGATGCCCAGGACATCAATGTTTATTCTTGCCATCTCCTGTTTGACCACATCCAGCTTCCCAAGGTTCATAGATCTTATATTCTAGGTTCCTATGCACTATTTTTCTTTGCAGCTTTGGACTTTCCTTTCACTTCCAGGCGCATACGCAGCTGAACATCCTTTCAGCTTTGGCCCAACCACTTCATTAGCTCTGGATCTACTTGTCCTCTGCTCTTCCTCAGTACGATGTTGGATGCCTTCCAACCTGAGGGGCTCATCTTCCAGCGTCATATCTTTTAGCCTTTTGTTTCTGTCCATGGAGTTTTCTTGGCAAAGATACTGGAGTGGCTTGCCAGTTCCTGCTCTAGGTGGATCGCGTTTACTCAGAACTCTCCACTATGACCTGTCTGTCTTGGGTGTCCCTGCACGGCATAGCCCACAGCTTCTATGAATTACTCAAGCCCCTTTGCCACAACAAGGCAGCAATCCGTGAAGGGGTTGTAAAGTGTACTACATGCTTTTATATCAGATTAAAATGGTTTTTCTTTTTTATTCTTGTATAATTTAGAGAAAGCCTGCACCTAGGCTGTGTCTGTACAGATTTTAATAATTATTTGTCAAATATTATGTTGGTATTGGATATTAAATTTTGCTTTTGTGTGGAGCCTACATATTTTAAGTGTCTGTTAGATAATAGCAACATGTTTATAACAGAAGTTTGCTACTTGGAGGTAGAGGGATATGTGAATCAATCGCATAGTCACATTTTAGACTTACATGTCAATTTGCCTGTTGAATTCAGAGTAATCTTTTGAAATCTGAAGTTTTGTTTTTCTTTGTTTTTGTGGTGTTATTGGTCTGGATAGATTCCAAAGGAGAACTTCCTCGTGGATGGAATTGGGTTGATGTAATCAAGGTAACATGGTTGACAGTTTAAAATACATTATGTATACATTTTCAGGTGACTTCAGTGATGTCTAATTTCTCTCTTCTCTTTTTTCTTAACCATTGTGCACATGAATGATGTTTGGAATGTCTTCTTGTATCCAAGTAGCATGTACGTATTGCAGGCTTTCTGAATTTCTATATTTGTTATGATATATTTACTGTTTTTGTTATTTTGAGTTTTATACCACTCCATAGTGCTAGAGCACTCTCTGGACTGTTTGCAGCATGATTAAGCAAAGACCACTTTACCCTGTAGTGAGCTGGGTACTTATTTTACCAACTTTGGAAGGATGGAGGGCTGAGATAACCTTGAGCCAGCTAGCTGAATCCATTGAGATCCAGCTCAGGTTATGAGCAGAGGCTTGATTGCAGTACTGCAGTTTAACCACAAGGCTTATTTTGCTCAAGTGTATCTAGATACACTATACCTGTCATCAGTTTTTAAGAGTCTTTTACTATTTTGACCCTAAATAGAAACATTGATTTAAGTGAAACTTGCATATTAAATTTAAAAACAGTAGTTCACTAATCTTCTGTGTCTTTACAGAAAGGTGGTAATTAAGAGTTTTACAGCTAATTCTGAGGCAAAAATTCCCAAATATAGGAAATCTGAAATCAGAATATTGTATGAAATTGATTGTATTTTGAAAGGGTTAATTTACACAAGGTAAGTGTAAGCAATGGTAGTTGGAACTAAATAAAAATACCATCCCCTTGCAAACTTTGCTGTTTTCCATTGTCCATATACATCATTAACTAGATAGAGCATCAGGTAAGGATTTTCCAAGACACATATAGATGAAATCATAATAGGTAGAATTAGAAAATATTTTAAGGATTATGAAGAACATCTTACCTGATAAGACTTTACTTTGATAAAATGCTCAGGGTCCCAATCCATGAACATTTAGTTATTCAATTGAATGTTAGTTGCTTGCAACCAAATTATCCCATGAATTTTAGTGATTTTTAAATTCTACTGCTTGTCTTTATGCTGGACAAAGAAAAATAGTAAACAACTACTCATTTTGTTTTTTTACAGCTAAGCAAAACAGGCTCCAAGGATGATGAGTAGGAAGACTTTGGTATAGAAATATGTTGATTTTTATTACAACATAATCTGTAGTGAACTACATTTCTCTTTTTCCACTTACATTTTATAAAATTACAATTCCTCACCCTTTAGAATGTGCAAAGATGTATTCACCAAAACGGACATTTTCCTGGTCTTTGTCAATATCACATGTTTGCCTTTAAGAAAACTGTGCTAAAGTTGGTGGTGTTCTATTTGTATTCTGGCTGTCATGCTTGAAGGTAACTATGTAATTTATATTTATATTGATGGATGCCGTCTGAATCACAAAAAAGTTTATTAGTGAAATAATCAGGTGCAGACATGAAGAAAATGTGGCCCTCCAGATGTTAGAGGATTGCAGCTTACATCATTTTTCACCACAGTCTGTGTGGGCTAAGGCTGCTGGCCTAATGAAATTTGGGGAGGGCAGGCTTTCCCCATCCCTAATCTAAGGTGTTGCTGATTTAGAACCCTATCCTAAAAAGTTCAGACCACTTAACACCTTTCTTTCAATTATGCTCATGGAATTGTTTTAAGGCTTGAGTGGATTGGCAGTTTTGTCTTAATTTTATACTTTATTCTTCCATAATTATTTCAGTGTATTTTCAGTGTATACGATTTGTTACTTTGTCAACCTTTTGACTAAACAATACAAGGTGGAAATATTGTAAAAGGTTATGTCATAAATGATAATAAGTGGCTTCAGCCACAATATTTCTTTCTAAATGTGTTTAAGAAACACATACAGTATATAAATAGTCGGTGGCTGAAATCCCATTGTAAGTTGCAATTCGGGTAGGACCATTGAATCAGTGGAGATTTGGTCGGCTTCAGCCACAATATTTCTTTATAAATGTGTTTAAGAAACACATACAGTATTTAAATAGTCAGTGGCTGAAATCCCATTGTAAGTGGAGTGGAGATTTGGTGAGGCAGTTCCTCTATTAGTCCCATTGATTCAACAGGCTTTCTTTAATTGCAGTGTACTATCAGGTTTCAGCTATAGAGTTCCTGGCTTCCCTTCCACAATGCATTCTTAACCATATACACACCACAATAAAACAGAATGGAAAATAGTTCCATTAGAAATGAAAGATAACATACCAATATGTACACCCATTTCCATGGCACCTCTGCCACCACCTACATTGTTTATCAGTGAGATATTTTCTATATTTTTCCATTCCTTGCAAAGGGTGTTGTTTATCAGTGAGATGTTTTCTATATTTTTCCATTCCTTGCAAAGGCAAACCTCTGCCAAAGAAGGAGTATTTTCCTTAGGTAAGTGAACCTAATATAAACTGTCCACATACAACACACAAACAAGTAGACTGAGTTGCTCCTTCAGCACAACGAACTCATGGTGCCCGGGGCAAGAGAGTGGCAAAAGCCAGCTGCAGCCTTTCGATTCAAGACCCTCCTTAGTCACTTTTTCAGCCATCCAGCAGCACGTACAGCAGCAGAATTGTGATCTTAATTCTGCTAGGTTAAGTGAACAGAAAGGAATAACATTTCATTGACATGGCAGCCAACTGTAGCCCAGTGATGACTGGTAGGTTTGGAGAACTTACTACCCTCCCTGGTTTGATCTGCTAGGTAATCAGCTCTCACACATAATTGTCAAAACTTTGTATGCCAGTATTTGTGATCTATCAGTTGCAGAAAATGAGGACCAGCCCAAGGAAGAAGGGACAAAAACAGTAAGCAGTGCTAGTCGTACTCTGGTGAGTTGGAGCATTGCAATGGGAGACTTAGATTCTTTGGTATTAGTATCGCCCAGAGAGATAGCAAAGTCAGTTTTCACGGATGCTGTAAGCCCAAATCATTTTTTATAAAAGGGGAGATCAAGTCAGATAAGCAGCTGCATACTAGATTTTACCAATCCCCGCAAAAGGAAACAAAACATCCATGATTTGGTTTTTGTAGGTCTTAAGCGGTCTAGTCTTTAATAAACCTACAACCACATACAGACTCTGAACTTGTTCCTTTTAAAGAACAATACAGTTTACATGGAGAAATTGCTAGGAAGAGCTACATGGTATGTGCAATGTACAGGAAAGAAAGCAGTATCTATCCAGTTGGGATAAATAGTTAATGGAAATATGGCCTCATGTAAGTTATATAAGTTAAATAAAAAAATAAATGCAAGGAATTACTTGTTTCATTTATGCCCTAGGATGCTAACCTTCATGCCAGCTACAATTTTCCCCAAACACTGATTTCTAATAGAGATCAGATGCTGGCCAAAATCCCCTCAAATAAAGTTATGGTGCACAAGCTGATGACATCAGCCATGGGCTTTTATAGCTCATAAAAAGTTTTCTGTTCCACACATGCATACCAGTTCTGAGGCTTTATTGGGGCTCCCTTTTGACATGAGGAAGACATTGAGAGCTTCAGGATGAGCCTTTAAAGCCTGAAAATTGCTACTGACAGTAATGTAGGGCATGCCCCACTCATCTCCAGCTCTACTGCTCAATTTACTGTGAACCTAACCGAGGAAGACACACAGTGGATTTTCAGGGTACACTGTATTATTTTTTTCTAGTGATCCACTGCCCACAGACCCTTAGCCCCTGACTGTGGCTAGAGTGTAGGGGAAGAAATTTATAAGCTCCACTCATCCATTCCCTTCACTTTTAGCCAAATCGTGGCACCTTATGAACGAATATAAATACTTTATTACTTGATAGCCAATTAGGCTGTGTGCATAATAGCACCCTATTTGCAGGTGTGGACAAAGATAACACATCCCAGTCTGCCCTCAAGCAGATGGAAGCATTACACTGCCTGTGACCGCTGTCGCTTGACAGTTAAGAATGATGCATTTTATGTAATTATATACTGTTCTCATTCAGCCATCTACAGGGATGGCCTTCAATATGATTAAACGTGTGATTTATTTTTTTAAAGAAATGGTAACACTTATTTGACAGTTACAAATGCCAGACAACTCTTAGGGCACCAATCCAAAACACATATACTACAGAATAACACTCTGCTGAATTTACTTCTGGTTAAAAAAATCACAAGATTGCAACATGTGAAAAATTCTGATGGAGAAGAGGTGCTCACTAACATGCCAATACATTTCCCCTGAAAATGTGTTTCATGTGTTTCATATCTGCCCCTGTCAAAATTGCACAGATTACAAGGTCTTGTAACTTGGTCTTGTTTCAGTGATTCACTTGGAAATACAGGAATTGTCATGCATTTCCTTATAATGCTTAATAATAAAGGAATGGAAATAACCATCCCACCAAGTGGATAAACAAAGTGCATTTTACATAGATGCGATGTCTTGTATCTGAAAATTAGCTTCATGTGAGAAACAGTAAAAGAGCATAAGATGCCTTAATGCCATCCATTTTTATTAAGCAACAGAGTTTAAATAAATATATATTTATCTTCCATGCTGTATATTTATTTTCATTTTAAGATTCAAATAGTTGAAGAATTAAATGCATCTTTCAACTATTTCGGTAATATTCATTGGGGGGTGGGGGAGATGCTAAAACTGAATGAGTTCTGGGGAGTATTTTGAGCCATAATTCCAATAGAACATAGGGTATAGAGCGTAAAATGTCCCATTTCTGTATGACTGCTTGCAAGTGCTGAATCAGTTCTGAAATGTTTAAACACCCAGAGGCTCAGTCAGTAAACACATGTTCACATTATATAACTAGTCCATCTTTTTTTTTTTTTGCCAAACCCACCCACCACCACTGTTATTTCCATTTATTTCAGAAATAGAGAACACAAAGTCTGAAGGGAAAAAAAGTTGTTATTTATTTGTAGGCAGATTTAATACTAGCCTAGCAGTTCGAAAGCATGCAAATGCAAGTAGATAACTAGCTACCACCTCAGTGGGAAGGTAACAGCGTTCTGTGTCTAGTCGCACTGGCCACGGAAGATTGTCTTTGGACAAACGCTGGCTTTACGGCTTGGAGATGGGGATGAGCACCGTGCCCTAGAGTCGGACACGACTGGACAAATTGTCAAGGGGAACCTTTACCTTAATGCTAACATCATGGAGCAATATTCTACCCTAATAAGAAATTAGTATCTGGTAAAGGAAGCGTTCCTCATGAAGAGTCATTCTTTGTGATCATCACCCTGCAGACAACCAGGGCATGTCACGTGGGTGCTTTAATAGTTCCTGCAAGCAAATTCCTCACATGTGGTGCATTGTGTACTAGCTTTCCTGTCCATTTTAGCAAATACAGTGATGCCTCACAAGACAAAAATAATTTGTTCTACAAGCCATTTTCTATTGCGAAAATTTTGTCCTGCAAAGCGCAGTTTCCCATAGGAATGCATTGAAATTTAATGCGTTCCTATTTGCCTTGTGAAGCACGGCCATAGAAAAATTTGTCTTGCGAGTCACCAAAAAATCACAAAACACTTTCGTCTTGTGAGTTTTTCGTTGCGCAAGGCATTAGTCTTTCGAGGCATCCCTGTAATGGGTAGAAGTAAAGCTTTTTATGGTATCATTTTACACTAGGTTTTCAGTTTACAGATCTGCTGATTTTAAGCTTCGTTCTAAAGCCCAGCCATTTCCCACCATATTTCATCTGATTTTCTCATCACGGCAGTGTAACAAAACTGATCTTCACATAGAACCTGCCCAGGAAAATGTCTCAAGAGAATATAATTATAGTACATTACAATACTTTTAAGATGTTTTCTCTCTATATTTGCAATAAATGGTGTTGGAATGGACTTTTACACCATACTACCTGTTTATCAATGGTTAGATCTTTTACTGGTGCATACCATTTCCAAAACTGTACAAGTAAAATATTCCACATAACTTGAACAGTAGCCAATGTGTCAGTAGCTGATTGCATTACTCTTGTTTTCTTGTTGTCAAACCACAAGTATCTTATGAATTCATATCATTTCTTCAGGCTCATTATTGCTCTAAATGGCAATCCTGAGACTGGATGCTGCAATTCACATGACTTTGGTGGGAAAATGCATGATTAAAGGGATGAATTATTCAAGTACTGTACTTAATTGGCTGTATTATATGTCTGTGTAGCTTACACGTGGCTATCACGGAGGTCTATCGCTTTTAACATAAACTGAACAACATATGGGTAGTGACAAATCTAATGACAAAAGTGGCCCTGTTAAAGAAGCAATGCAGAACAGATATTTTAAATTGAAATACAGCAAACATTGAAGAGGCAGATGAGGAAAGTTGACAGAAAACAAACAAACCCAGCTTTAAAGAAGTAGAAGGAGACAAGTAATGTTGGGGATTCTGTTCTATTTCTCAGAAGACTATGATGGAATGGAAAAAGCAGACAAATCGGCATACTGTATAGCACAAAGAAATGGAAGCGAGAAGAGGCTGACAGCAAGCGCCTGATCATGTTTCGGAAAAGGGGAAACAATGTGACAGGACAGCAGAATAATTTTGGCAAGAAAAGTGCAAAGACAATCCTGTTATTAGAAAGAGAATGTGAAAGCATTATTGGGCCTATGACCAATCTTTTCTACTCACATATTCCTCTGGATTAAACTAGGTCTCAGAATTTAAGGTTTAGCTTTGGCCCTATATTGATTGGCAGAAGAAAAGATGTGGAAAATGTTTGTGGAGCAGCTTGTTAATTAAAACAATATAAAAATACACCAGGATAATCAATTTTAAAGAAAATTCCTGAATTTTAATGTATATTTCTGAATTTTATACCAACAGACTATTTTCTGTTTTTAGAAAACTATTGAGAAAACATTGATGTATTTTGTGGGGCAGATAGTTGAAGAACTGCTGCATTTCTGCTGATGAGGGTAAAAAGAATGAAAGGGAAATTGAAGTTTTAATGATTGCCTGCTAGTTTGCTTTTATGCAACCGTTCCCCAGGGAGGGGAAACTTGTTGCTGGCTTCCTTGGAGTATAAATGTAGTTGCCATGACAATTCATCTGAATAGAGCAGATTAAGGGAAACAAACAAAGTAGAATTGGTTGGCCTCTGTTTTCTTGCTGCAGTTTATCCTGTAGTCTGACTTGCTAGGCTTTGGAAAAAGCACATTGAAAGTTAAGAAAACTGTACTTTTTGCAGATGTCCTGCACATCTTTAGTTGCATAGTATACCGTGAGACATATACCATTTACATACTATCCTGACAATTTATGCCCTAGAACAGTGGTTCCCAATGTTGGGTCCCAGATGTTGGACAAAAACTCCCAGAAACCTTCACCGCTAGCTGTGCTAGCCAGAATTTCTGGGAGTTGCCCTAGATTGAGTTGTTGCAAATCTACCTACATCTTCTACCTGTGTTCCTTCACTTGGAGGTGTAGGCAGAACCTGTTGCAAACAACATACTTCAATACCATGACCTAATCCAGTTACCATTGTTGCTGTAACTATGGTTAATCAACTCTTAGTTTAGCTATGACTATAGAAATGATAGTTAGCCAACTCTGTAAAAGGAACTGAAACGATCCATGCAAAACTGGTCAAATTTTGGACAAACCAATTCCATGTGATTGGTCTCACACTGCATCTTTGATTTATAAACAGGGTGATGTTTGATGGGCAGACTATGGGCTAGGAGAAAGTTCCCATGGTATGAGATATAACTGTGGCATCCATTGCCTCAACGAATTTGGGGAAATAGATTATTTGACAGAGCATACTTGATGGCAAAGAAGAATTAACCGCCCAATATATGTATAGGAATTAATCTCTTAAACCAGGAGGCTGTGTCAAGTGACAGTTCTTGCCTCATGACCAGATCCTACATGTGACCCTCTCTGTCCAATACAGATACCACTAGGCACTATGTTTTAAAGTGCCCATTGTGCAGCAGGAGAGTCAAAGTTTAAAAGTACTATAATCTATACAAGGTGTTGCTGAAATGCTAACAGTATGTTTAATTTCAGTAGTACAGCAACTGAGGCCTTTCAGCAATTGTCATGCATTATGAGTTATGTTCACAAAACTGTTATTTTGAGTCCAGGGAAAAACATTTAAATTATAGGCAGAGTAAAAAAGAAAAATGGAGAGTCTAGTGGTGCCTTAAAAGCAAACACATTTATGATACCACAAGCTTTTGTGGACTTGCATCAGCTTCTTTTCTTTAAATGGGCAACAAAAATGTGAAGAGGAAAAGCTGTAAAATTATTTGTACTACAGCACAGTTTCAGCCTGCGTGTAGAGGAAATAATCATTTTATTAATTCTTTATTTAAAAATAATGAGTGCTCTTTCAAGCATATACATGGTCATACACACCATTCTTCAACCAGCCAGTCAATGTGACAATAATGGTGAATAACAATTAAAAGGACAATACAAGCTCAGAAAGCAAAACTATTCTAATCACCAAACTATAATACTTGAAGTAACAGTATTAAATTTGATCTGTAAAGTGTACCTCATCAGATAACCACGTTGACCTGCACAACTATTTCGTCTCTGTTGAAGGAGGGGGAAGGTGTTGGTGCTGAATTTAGCATGATTGGTTTTTACAGTTCATCCACTTTATTATCTACCAGCAAAACCATTCACCTATCAAATTCCAGACAGTGGCCACAGTCCTGCTGTTTAGTGTAGGAAATTGCACCAGAGTAGTCCCATTGACTCAACAGTGATTTGGTGAGTTAACTCCTCCAAATGTTCCATTAATGCAAATGAGCCTACTCTAACTGTGACCTACTTCCCCTTCCTTTCCAATGATTTTTAGGAAGATTACGTTTCCAGCAAAATATTTTGCAATTTGTGTTTGAAGGTAGTGCTCCCTTGTGCTACTAGTATTACAATGGCCCTGCCATTGTGATGGGAAAGAATTAATGCATAGACCTGTTGTTGGCTGAAATAAGGTCCCTTTCATTACAACTCAAGTAATCCTGGCCCTTCATAGGGCATGGATGCAGGCCATCATGAAACTTGCTTCTCAACCTGTCTCAGCACATCTGCTCAGAAGTGCAGAATGACAGAAGGTAGGAATCCACATGGGCTTATAGCTATTGCATGGCTTCCTTGCTGCTTAGGAGTGAGGCTGGACCTATGGCCCCCAAGCTAGCCATGGCCAGTGCCTTAAGGGGATCGCCAAATAAACAAGATGTCTGTGTTCACATATCCTGCTCCCTGAACTGAATGGAATTAATCTCATTGCCTGAAATCACCAATAAGGTTGTGACAAAATAGGTTTCCTCATTTAATTCAAACTTGCACAAGACCACAGCCAGTTGGAGGGGGAACTGAAGAATGTACAACAGCTGATTGGAGCATCAAGACACTTAAAACAGTGTTTGATGGACCAGAAGAGGAACTGTATCTGTCAGGCACATGTTTGGGAAACCCCATCCTTTCACCAGGCCAACCAAGCAGGTCTCTCTGGCCCCAAAATAACTAGAATTCTCTCCGGCAGCAACAGGAAAGTGGATCAGAAGTGGAGAAAATGCTAGGGTGATGAGGCCTCTTACTTCCATTTCCCCACCCCATCCTGGCTCTGCAGAGGGCATAATTGGGGCTTCCAGGTAAGCTTAACCCCTCATTTCCCAGTGGCAAAGTCAGACACATGACATTATGTTAACCTCTATGATGAATAAGCTAGAAATCATATTAAATTGATAAATATATTACTGTACTGTATTGTAAAGTAAGTAAGTATTGTGAATAACATTCATAGATCATATTTATTTGCCTCATCATTCTTTCTGATTGTTTCTTAGTACTGTGACTTGGTTTCTTGTCTTCAAAGGAGATTGAAACTTGTATGGCAACTCAAACAGGTTTGGCCAGTGCATGTTGCTATGGATTAGTTGCTGCCTGGGAGTCAGTAAACTCATCCAGTTCCAAAAACCAAGAGGAGAAGGAAGAAAATCGAAGGAGAGATTAATGTTGCTGTTATTATAGTTTACTGTTTAGAAGCATACGTGAGACTGAATATCCCTGTGACTTTGTGGATTATTTCTAAATGTAATAGAGAGGTTTGTGATCCGATTATAAGATATTCAGGTATACAACAAAAATTGTACTGAGGTTTGTGATCTACCTTGTATATTTACTTGTTTACTACAATTGTATATTTGGAAGGAGTCATGAGAATATATTAGTTTGGATTTTTAGCTCAGAAGAAAGCTGAAACAAACCAGAAATGCCAAACAAGGAATGAAATGCAATATTTTCCACAATTGTCCTTCTACACTTCCATATACAACTTTGATGCAAAAATTATGTGGACAACTCATAAAAAAGGAAATTTACCACAGAAACTTTTATGCACAGTAAGTATGTTCAAGAAAATCTAAGTTAGACATTATAGTAGAATTTACATTTTGTTTTGTTCACATGTTAATTTCTCTCTTAATATGTTTATCTCAATCCCCACATTTGTGAGGGGACACTCATTGCAAATTTTATATTAAACCTTTATATGCAATAGAGGAAAAGAGGTGGGGGAAAACAGGGGGGCAATATTCCAGGAAAAATACTTTGGTTTAGCAACAGAAGGGCATCAGTACCAAGCAGCTCTTTCTAAGGCCTCACATGTGATTATAATAACTATTATTTTGCTGCAGTTTCTATACAAATACTAACTTAGTATATTAATGATTAATTAAAGATATTAAAAAGCTTAGTGACTGAAGAAATAAGCATATTGGAGTAAAAAATGGAAGGGGAATTATTCTGCTTTGAATAAACTAATGTTTATAAAATTGGTAACAAGATTTCCAGAAACTACAAATACTTACCTAACTTTATACAATTAAGGAAATTATTTTTATTGGTCTTATTTTAATACGCTGTTGTAGAATTGGAGCACAGTAAAGTAGTACAATGTATTGTTTTTCCTGCAGAATAATAATCATTTAAAAACACATTGTTTTATCTTCAGTTCAAAGAACATCACTGGAGAATGTAATGATGGCATGTACTGTATATCTGAATAATAACATACATTATGCACAGAAGACTCTGAGAACCAATATTAGTATTAGGCAAAGTCAGGTGACTACCTCGGAGAACAGAATGTGAGCATTGTGAATGGACAGCAAACTGTCACATTATTTTTTACTATATTTCCACAGAGTTTTCTGCAGGTTTAGTTAAATAAGCTGGACTGTATTCCATAAGAGTTATTTGCCAGTAACCATGATTAATTGCCTAAATAAGCTACTCACAGAGCCAAGCTCAATCCTGAACTAAAAGCTGGAATGTTACATTACTCTTTCCTGAACTGGAACAGAACAGCAATCCTTATTTGAAAGGCTTCACTGAGACTTGTTTGAATCAAAACAAAACTAGGCTGGAGAAGGAAGGGTGGATTCAGGTTACCAGTTCAGGCTTTAGTCAGTCAACAGGAGACAGAAAGCCTGAGGATTTATTTGCCTGAGGTACGGGACTGCAGTATCTCAGCCAGCCTCTGTAAGTAATAGTTGTGTTAAAGCATATCTGGCAGTAGGCCTTGAGGACCTCAGATACAGCAGGTAGCCTGATAGCCTCCAACAGATGAAAGAGGAATATCAGCTATACAGTAGTAGGTGTGGATGTGGGAATGTGACTGAGTGGCAGTTGGCCTTGAGGACCACAGATACAGCAGATAGCCTGATAGCCTCCAACAGATGAAAGAAGAATATCAGCTATAGTAGGTGTGGATGTGGGAATGTGACTGAGAATTGATGGTGAGGATCCTGTTCCTCTCCTCTGACTAGTGATATTTCGGGGTGGGGTGGGGCATGTGAACTGGAACTGAATCACTTGGTTATGTGTGCTAGACAAAGTCCATACAGTGCTATGTAATATCCGTAATACAAAAATAAGGGATATTCCATTATTACATGCTCTGGCAGCAGAGCAGAGCAAAACCTAGCATGAATGTCTAATCTATAACAGTGCCTTCTGTGATGTGTTTGGGTCCACTTGGGCAAGCGGCATCACTCCAGGATACCCCCAGAAAAAGGGAATGGTAAACCACTTCTGAATGCTCTCTAGCCAGAAAAACCTGAAAAGAGTCGCCAAAAGTCAGAACTGACTTGGTGACACACAGTAATATAAATAATACCGATCACAAATGTTTCATTTGTCTACATCTGCTTGCAAGTGCTCTCTCTCTCTCTCTGTTTTCTCAATTCCTATGAACTGTTGCCCATCCAAGACTGAGGTCCTTGCACGTAACAGTAATGCAGCAAGAGCTGGTTAATAGTAAGGCAACGTTTAAATCATCAAAGCATAATGCAGTTATTTTATCTATTACTTTCTGAAAGGCAAAGAACATTTTGTACACAGAAACAAATTACTGAACCATTTCTACATCAATACGTATTTTATATAGATGGTAACTGAGAGAGGGTGTTTAACTAATTATGTTTTGTTGTTTTCTCTTTAGCCTGAAGCAAATGGTGCAGATCAGGCCAAATGTCCCAATGCAACTTCACTGGATAAGGATGATGCCCTTGAAAGGGAATTAGTTTCCAGCAAGAAATCAAAAACACAGAAATCAATGTGCACAAACAGATGGCACCTCCAAACACAAACCAGTGGAGAACTCTCTAATTTGGAAGACACCAAGGCAACTGATGAAAATAAAATCAGTAAAAGGGTAACTGAGTTAGCCAAAGACACATTATCATCTTCTCTGGTGTTGACAGATGTAAACAGCTCAAATGATAAAGAAGGAGACAAAGCTGTTTGTAATGGATCCTCATCCTATCCGGAAACTGAGAGTACAAAACTAAAGCTCTTTCATGATCTTTTGTTGAAACATCAAGATCCAACTCTGGAAACAAGATGTTGTCTGCGCAGCCCTTCAGCTAATGACACTAATAGGCTTGTAATTAGGGGGCAAATTAATGTGCCGTGTTTATCCAGAAAGAAAATCTTCATGATCTATATCTGTGGAGGTTATCAAGGTACAGCCCAAGAGAAGTGGAAGTCTTGTGTCTTAAAAGATCGAATAAAATCTAAAAGTAGTAAAAATCCAGTGTTGGAATTAGCATACATTTGTCAATTGGAAAAGCAGTGAGGAGTCTTGAGGCATCTTAGACACAAATCTATCAAAGCAGATAGATTTTTAGATCTATCAAAGTAGATAGATAGTGGACTCTACTCCACAAAGTAGATAGATAGTGGACTCTACTTCACAAAGTAGATAGAGAGTGGACTCTACTCCACAAAATAGATAGAGAGTGGACTCTACTACACAAAGCTCTTGTGGAGTAGAGTCCACTATCTTTCCACAAAAGCTTGCATTATAATAAATGTGTTTATTTTTGCCACAAAGCTGTTTGTTGCTTTTGTTGTCATAGAGTAATTGTAAATAATTATGATGGAAGGAACCATAAAAGGGAATTAATAATTTCGAATTTGGACCATTTATCTTACTCCAAGAAGACGAAATGTAGCAAGGCCTATTTACTCATTGCAACAAAACTGAATGAGTATGCATACCAAAGCTATTGAACTATCTCTCAGTGCTGTGAATAGAATGTGTCAATGTCATTGTCTGTCTCCAGCAGCCTGTAACTTTTTCTGACTAAGCAGAAGTGCCTCTGGTAAGTTACTGGGAAATCTTACTTAGAAGCTCTTTAGTTTTACAAAGTCTAACTGACAATGCAATCCTATCTGTGTCTACTCACATGGCAGCTGGAAAAGCTACTTTTTTGGCTCCCATAATTCCCATAATTCCCCAGCTGCTTCATGAATTCTGGGAACTACAATTTAAAAAAGTTATTTTTCCACACATCAAATCAGACGTCAACCGCACAGAATTCAGGAAGACTTACTCTCACGTAAGTGTGAGCAGGATGGTGGCCTAACTGTATGAAAGGAGGCCACTTTGCTCAATTTGGTTAAAAACAAAACAAAATAATGTGCGGCACAGGCCTATCTCTCTAAAGATTCCAGCAGCTGTTTGAATGTCCACTTTTACTGCACATTTTAAAAAGAAGCAAAAAACCAGAAAGCTGTAATTAATAGGAAACAGAATTTGATTTCAAAACTCAGGGCATCAAATTATGAGCCCTAAATATAAATATATGTTTATATCAGAATAGGGTTTGTTTCTATAAGTATCGTCTTTTTGCCCAGTGTTTGAGATCAGCGGAAAAGTGTAACTAGGACTGTGAAACCCGATAATCTCTTTCCCATTGCATCTCTCAATTTCCCCCTCACGTTGTTATCCTGTATTGAGCTATGGGTAGAGTGTCAGGCAATTAAATCATCTAACTGTCTGGCTGTAAAATCTTAATTTCTACACCATCATATCTTTACTACAGATGTTGTTCCATGTGTTACTACAGCTGTTTCGGATACTCTTTTGGCCAAACACATAATTTAATTGAACTAGACTGATGAAACCCAAGTGCTTTCCAATGCCTTTCCTCTTATTTTACACAAATGTTCCATAACCTCCAAACATGAGCTGAAGGCACACAATGCACTGCTTTCCCTGATGCTAAACAGGTTTCCATTCAAAACCTAGTTCCTTTTCATTAAGATGACCATCATACTTTATACTGCAATTAGAATGGCAATATGTAGTCATGTGCTAGATGACAGCTAAATTGCAATGGTAACTTTATCTCTAGGTGCTGGGAGATACTGTTTTTTATTAGCATAAAGGGATTTACACAACATGTTTTGCCATTTTACTCAGATTCAGAAGTGGAACGGAATGCTTTAATGGAGAAGTCCTTTCCTTGGCTGTACAACTACTGTAAGGAGCAAGGTTATGACTTCCAGATGGTGGACCTGAGATGGGGGATAAAAGATGGTATCACTAATGATCACAGTATGGCTTCACTGCATATGAAGATGTTAAGGAAATGCCAGCAATTGGGATTTCAAACTTTTGTTGTAAGTTAGGTGCAATCTGCAACTTGTTCAGTACAGTGGACCCTCAACTTACAGATGGCTCCACTTACGGACTTTTCAAATTACAGACTTCTTTGGCTGCAAAATTTAGGTTCAACTTGCAGCCGGTGAATCAACCTATAGACCAGGGGGAAAACCCAAAATGGAACAAAAATGGCCAGTTATGGCATTAATCAGTTTTCAATGCATTGTAGGTCAATGGAGCCTCGACCTACAGACTTTTCGACCTGCAGCCACCGTTCCAATACAGCTTAAGTCGAGTAAGTCGTGGGTCCACTGTATTTTGTTTTTCACATTACATTGCCATGCATGGGTGCTCAGAAATCCTGTTGCTTTCTTCTTTATAAGTATGTATACTATTGCAGCTTAAATGTAATTGCAGGGCTTTGCTTTTTCTGTTTTATGAAACCATCCATAAAGCAAGTCTATTCGGCAGAAGAAAAGGCACAGCCAAATATGAACAGAACTGAATCTGGGTCATCAGTCTAGACCAGGAGTTCCTAACCTTGAGTCAGCAGAAGTTCTTGGACTAAAACTCCCAGAAGCCTTCACCACCGGCTGTGCTGGCGAGAGTTTCTGGGAGTTGTAGGCATCTGGGGACCCAAGGTTGGGAACCACTGGTCTCGACCATTCCTGGTAGAATTCCTGCTATCAGATCATGTACCTGTGTCTCATAGTGGACAATCTCCAGCATGACATCATTCTCTCCAATGCTCCACATCACCTGAAAATTAGCTCAAAGGTTTTCTGGGACCTCTGAGTTCTTTGGTGGGAGGGGCATCATCTTCACGTTCTGCTATAGTAACAGGTCCCTCGACAGAACACACACACCTTTGATTCTGGAAGTGCTTGGAATACCACAAGCTCCATAGAACAATTAATACATGTTGGTTTCCTCTTTTTTCCCTGTACATTTTAGGCTTTCATTGGGCAAAAGCACGATGATCTCTCTCTCCCAGAAAAAATAAATAGGACAGATTTTGAAGTCATTAAAGCCACTGTTGAACACATGAAGATGACTGTCAAAAATATAAAATATACCTTGTCTGGCAGTTTGAAGGAAGAAACTGGAATAAGCAACCAGAATGAAATTCAAGATAGTGTCCTGGGCCACAGTCTATTAACAGAAGAGCATGAAGACAAGACAAATAGCAAGAAGGAATGTAAAGTGATGGACTCAGACAAGGAGAAATTGCCCAGTGCCTCTCTACTCACCCAAAAGACTGTTGCAGAATATGACAAAGAACTTCAGCTTCTGGATAAATGGTACAGGATGGATGAGAACTGCATCCCTGCAGTTTACAAGCTTCAGCCTATTTGGTTGGTTAACTTTTGATCTTTTAATTACTGTATACTGGCTTAATCATAATAGTTTCTTTTAAAAAAATCTTATGTTTATATATGATCTCACTTGAAGCCTTAACTGAAGTATTTTTTTTCAAAGAGGCGATCATGTTAGCATATGTAGCAACAATGACAAGCAAAGTTTTATTTGAGACTAACAGATTTATGTCACCTTGAGCCTTCATGGGTGACAGTCCACTTCCTCAAACAGATAAAGTACAATTTTTAGGCTACAGGTTTATATAAACAACATACACAGCTGTAGATAAGGAATCAAAGTGAAATGGAATACAGAGGATGACAATTGTATTAACACTGGTAATCGACTTGTGAAGTGTTATGTTTACATATATATTTTGGCCCTAGATAAGAAGCTAAGTACAGTACTCATTTAGCTTCTGCTACATGTTTAACAGTTCTGTAATAGCCACAAAATGTTTAGCATTAGGTACATATGCATACACAGCCAAATGTGTCTGGTTTCACTGGGTTTGCAAACTCATGAATCTCGCCTTCATCCTCGTGGGCTATCTCTTCTCAGGAACCTCATGGCACAGCCTGGGTTCAATCTCAACTGGCTGGTCCGAGGTTCACTCAGCCTTCCATCCTTCTGAGACATACCGAGCTTGCCTGGGGGGGGAGGGAAATGTCTAGCCTGCATAATTAAATTGTGACCTGGCTAAAGAGAGCTTTAAGCCCTGTGGGGCAGCAGTATGTTCTGCTTTGCTTTTTGGTTTTCTGCTACTGTCTGTTTTTATTTCTGTATTTATCATGTTTTTTCTTTGTCTCAGAATAGGTGTTAAAAGTGAGATGAATAAAATATGTCAAGAAAATTAACCACTCTGTTGCTATTTTGTATCCAAGAATAGTTAAAAAATTAGAGCATGAAGTTTTTAAAGTCGCAGGAGGTTAAGTTGTGAAATCAGGAATATCTGTCAAAAATTTTCATCTTATTCAATAAGACGTCTTCCTGTTTTAGTGAGCGGACTATTACTCCCAGTACACTCTGTTATCTCAAATGCTGTTTCCAGCTGTTACTGTTTTTAGACATCTGTCCATAGGAAAACAATTCCTAGAATTTTTGAGCCCACAGGGCCAATCAAAAATACAATCCACCCACCTATTTAAATTAAAATATCCATTTATTTATTTAAAGTATTTTTATCCTGCCTTTCTCCTTAAAAGGACCCAAAGCGGCTTACATGACTAAAACTAGTATTTAAAAGCTTAAAGTGGTAAGTATACAAATATTTTAAAAGAATTAAATAATTGTTATATTAAAATAGTAACTAAGATCAATATTAAAACACATTTAAATCAACAGAGTATAACAGTCCATTAAAAACCCCTCTCAGACCACCAGTCATTTAAGGAAAAGCCTAGCTGAAGAGAAAGGCATTTGCTTGCTTGCAGAAGAATCAAAGATGGGGCAGCCTAACTTTCCGTGGGAAAGAATTCCAGAGTCTGGGAGCAGCGACAGAGGGCCCTCTGGTGTGTCCCCACCAAGCGCTCCTGTGTGAGTTGGTGGGAATGAACAAAAGGCCTTCCCTGGTTATCTTAATGCCCAGGCAGGCTCATAGATGGAGATGTAGTCTTTTAGATAGCTTGGTCCCAATCCATCTCAAATTCATTCTTCCTGTTTTTCTATTACTATCAAATTTCCCAAGCATCTCCTCAATTATCTCGCTTATCTGGAAAGCCTTATTAAGGTCACTATAAGTTGGCTCCAATTTGATAGCACATAATAAGACCAACATACCTTTATGGGTGGCTGTACTAATCCCAATCTTTACAATATTGCCATTCCTATGGATTTTATGGCAGTTTTACACTACAACTGTCCCATGAATCACACAGGAGATATAGTATTCCCCTAATTTGTTCTTAGAAGGCTATGAGAGCCATAATTGGCTAAAGCACTGGTTCTTAACCTTGGGTTACTCAGGAGTTTTGGACTACAACTCCCAGAAGCCTTCACCACCAACTGTGTTGGCTGGGGTTTCTGGGAGTTGCAGTTCAAAAACATCCGAGTAACAAAGGTTAAGAACCACTGGGCTAAAGCATGGGGAGGAGGGAGAAAGGTATGGGATTGTAGATTTCATTGAGGAACCTCCCTCAATAATTCAAGATTGTAATGCCCTATGGCCTTTTCCATGTTGTTGACTTGTAGGATTCCATCATCTTTTATCCATTCAAATGTCAGACAGTACATTCTGGGGCTTGTAAATGTTGAGGTTAGAAGAGCATCTTCTTAGTTTGCAGACCATCTTTCATAGTTTTTGTGTTATCTGCACAGCACAGGGTACAGAGATATCTTCAGCAAAGATCCTACTCGCAGGCAACAAGCTAAGAACAAATGGCTGGTGACGTTTCAAAAACTGCATAAAATACTTCTAAAATATGCTCCAGTTGCTCTTGGTCAGGAAGGTGCTGCCACACTGCTCAAAACAGGTGAGGAGGATATCAAAAACACTTGCTTGATTGTATTTTACTGATGAGTGGGTTAGTTTATTATGATCTTTTAAGCAAGACTGCTTCTGTTTTGCAAGTTTTGCAACAAGAAGTGGATCAAGGATTCCAGGTCCAAGGATCTTGCGAGGATCATTGTCACTGTTTCAAAAGAAGTATCACTGATCTGCAGAACAATCTGTCAAGCCCACAAGCATCAAAATATATTGACATCCACCCACTACGGCCAGAGATCAACAAATCAATGTATGAAGCTCACCAAAACTTTGTGAAAAACATTCACTCTCGGGTAGGTTGAGCAGATTATCTTTGGTACTTGTGCACAGTACAAAGTCAAGCTTACTGTACAAGCATCCCATTTTTCTGGGCTGGAAATTTATATGGTGGTTATGGTTGGCAGACCCAGTGTGATGTAGTGGTTAGAGTGATGGATTAGGGCTCTGGAGACCAGGATTTGAATCCCCACTTGGCCATGGAAACTCACTGGGGGAATGGAACTGGTAAAATCACTCCTTAAATATCTCACTTACCTTGAAAGCCCTGTTATGGTCATTATAAGTTGGTTCTGATTTGACAACATATAACTAACTGTGATATGTTACTGTATTATTTCCCCCCACAGAGACAAATGGTGAACAATATGGATTTTTCCCCTCTTTTTGACATTCCCTTTATTACAGTTATTAACTACTGATGCTACAGGTTTGTTTTTCAATCTTGGCATATCCCGAAAGTTTGAAGTCTTTTACCCAAGTGAACAATGTAAAATGACAATTATGAAGTGAAAATTATGTTTTTTTTTATCAACACCTTCCTTTAGTGGAACACATCTGTTCATTGAATGTGATTCCTGGGTTGAGTAGTATATTAATACTTATGAGGGAGATTTATGTGTAACACCTTATAACATCCAGACATGTCTCTTTGAAAGATAGACTTAAAAAGACACTCCCTTCCCTCCGAGAGCAGGGTTGGTTTCCTTACAGCTCCAGTTAGAACTCATTGGAAGAAACTCTTCTACTTTGTACAATAATTCAAGGTGATACTGATCTCACAGATACAGGGGTCCTGTTGTTGTTGTTGTTGTTGTTGTTGTTTAGTCGTTAAGTTGTGTCTGACTCTTTGTGCCCCCATGGACCAGAGCACGCCAGGCCCTCCTGTCTTCCATTGCCACCCAGAGTTTGGTCAAATTCATGTTAGTAGCTTTGATGACGCTGTCCAGCCATCTCATCCTCTGTTGTCCCCTTCTTGCCTTCACACTTTCCCAACATCAGCGTCTTTTCCAGGGAGTCTTCTCTTCTCATGAGATGAACAAAGTACTGGAACCTCAGCTTTAGGATCTGTCTTTCGAGTGAGCACTCAGGGTTGATTTCCTTCAGAATGGATAGGTTTGTTCTCCTTGCAGTCCAGGGGACTCTCAAGAGTCTCCTCCAGAACCACAATTCAAAAGCATCAATTCTTTGGCGGTCAGCTTTTTTTATGGTTCAGCTCTCACTTCCATACATCGCTACTGGAAAAATCATAGCTTTGACTATGTGGACCTTTGTCAGCAAGGTGATGTCTCTGCTTTTTAAGATGCTGTCTAGGTTTGTCATAGTTTTCCTCCCAAGAAGCAGGCATCTTTTAATTTCATGGCTGCTGTCTCCGTCTGCAGTGATCATGGAGCCCAAGAAAGTAAAATTTGTCACTGCCTCCATATCTTCCCCCTCTATTTGCCAGAAGGTGATGGGACCAGTGGCCAAGATCTTAGTTTTTTTGATGCTGAACTTCATACCATTTTTATGCTCTCCTCTTTCACCCTATGTACATATATTTATAAGATATATAAATGTAATGTAATAAGCAAATCATACTTACTTTAGCCTTCATGAGAAAGCCACTGTTTCACATTCAGAACATATCTTGATACTAACAGGTATCTTCTTCAGCTGGGGTCCCCACATGGTGGCCATGGATACTTCCCTTGCTGCTTACTAGATTTTCTGTGAATTTTCAGTTTTATCTGTTAAAATATACTATTGGGATTCAGTAAGTCCTTTCTTTGTTCTCTTGTTTGAAAATGAACATTGTGTGTTTGTCTTTACAGCTGCGGCACACAAATATTTATAGTAAGAATATAAACTGGGGAAAAAATGGAATCAGCCCCACCAGCAACAGTTCTCATGCCTACTACCTGGAATGCCTCTGCAATGACTTTCAGAAGATCGTTATCAGCCATTTCAACAGGTGAGAAATATACAGTAGCTGCTTACAGACAAAATAGTAAAGAATAAGCACATGACCTGAAAATGAGGCCAGTCTCCTTTAGATTTCTTTGTGACCCTACAAGGTTCTAAAGGTTAGGTCTGCCTTTCCTGATCCAGTGTCCCCAGAGTGCAATTCCCATCAATCCTAGTCAGAGTTTGGAAGTAACTACAGTCATGGCCAAAAATATTGTCACCCTTGCAATTCTGTCAGAAAATGCAACCCTTCTCTCAGAAAATTGTTGCAGTTGCAAATGTTTTGGTGCTCACATATTCATTTCTTTGGTTTGTGTGGGAACAACAACAACAACACACACACACACACACACACAAACAAACAGAGATGAAAAGTCAGATCTGATACAATCCCACACAGAAACCCAAAAATGCACTCACCTAAATTATTGGCACTCTTGACTTAATATTTTTTCCCCTTTGGACAAAATAACTGAAATCAATTGCTCCTGTAACCATGAATGAGTTGTTACACCTCTCTACTGGAATTTTGGGCCACTCCTCTTTTGCAAACTGCTCCAGGGCCTTCAGATTTGAAGGACGCCTTCTCCCAACTGCTGTTTTGAGACCTCTGTACAGGTGTTATATGGGATTCAGATCTGGACGCATTGCTGGCCATTTCAGAACTCTCCAGTGCTTTGTTTGCAACTATTTCTGAGTGCTTTTTGAAGTGTGTTTCGGGTCACTGTCATGCTGGAAGACCCATGACCTCTGGTGGAGACGCAGCTTTCTGACACTGGCCACTACATTGTGCACCAAAATTCTTCAGTAATCATCAGATTTCATGATACCGTTCACACAGTCAAGGCATCCAGTGCCATAAGCAGCAAAGCAACCGCAAAACATCTTTGAACCTCCACCATGTTTGACTGTAGGGACTGTGTTCTTTTCTTTGGATGCCTCATTTCTTTTTCTGTAAACAGTGTCCTTGACCAAAAAGCTGTACTTTTGCCTCATCTGTCCACAGTACGTTCTCCCAGAAGTATTGTGGTTTTGTCACATAAGTTTTGGCATACTCCAGCCTTGCTTTTTTATGCCTTTGTGTCAACAGTGGTGTCCTCCTGGGTCTCCTTCCATAGCATCCCTTTTCGTTCAAATGGCAATGGATAGTGTGAGCTGACACTGCTATACTCTGTGTCTGCAGATCAGCTTGAATTTGTTGGGAAGTTAATCTGGGTTCTGTATCCACCATTTGAACAATCCTTTGTTGTAATTTTTCAGTAATTTTGCTCTTTAGTCCACGTCCAGAGAGGTTAGCTCCAGTGCCATGGGATGTAAACCTCTTGATGATACTGCACACAGTGGACACAGGAACATTAAGATCTCTGGAGATGGAATTGTAGCCTTGAGATTGTCAATGTTTTTCCACAATTTTTTCTCTCCAAGCCACAGACAACTCTTTACACTTCATTCTTTTCTCCATGCTCAGTGTCACACACAACACAAAGGTTGAGTCAACTTTTCTCCATCTTAACTGGTTGCAAGTGTGATTACTATATTGCCCACACCTTTTACTTGTGGCAGGTGTGTCTAAATACAAATTGAAGGAGCATCACATGCTTGAAAAGCAATTATTTCTTACAATTTAGACAGGGTGCTAATGATTTTGGCCAGTGCCTTTTTGGGTTTCTGTCTGGGATTGTATCAAATTTGACTTTTCTTCTCTGTTTTTTGTGTTGTTCCAATGCAAACCAAATAAATGAACATGTGAGTACCAAAACATTTGCAACTGCAACAATTTTCTGAGAGAAGAGTTGCATTTTCTGACAGAATTGCAAGGGTGCCAATATTTTTGGCCATGACTGTAATTGCAAGAAAATCCGTTCCCCATAACTAGTTACTTTGGGATCACAAAGGAGTATCTAAGCAACACTCTAAAATTAATGAAATGAATTGTTACAAAATTGTTACTCTTTTCTAGCAACATTTTCTAGTAACTTTCAAAAGTTTGTGATTGCCATTAATCATACAAAGATATTTAAAGGGATTTTCCATTTCATCAGCATGAATTCGGGCATGTCCTGTGTTTTGTGTTGTAGTGTTCATATTTTAAAACTGTTTTCGTTACTAGAAAGAAATTGGAAGGCACAGAGTTAAAAAACAAACTGTATCAGCAACTAATTGGAGGGGTGTCTAGGAACAAAAGTCATAACTACTTTTTAAAGTAAGTTTCCTACCCATATTAAATTTGCTGTAAAGGATTTTGATGTATTCTGACCAGAACAACAAAGCCAAAGGATATTCCAGAAAATCTGCATATACGAAGAAAGCAAGCATTTAAAACTCAAAATGATGAAGAAATTTTGGAACATGTGCAGCATGGTCAGGCCCTGTAAGTCTAATTATATTCTTTTGCTTAATTTGCGTTAGTTCTCCTTGTCATATGGAATATATTGTAGTTTGTGGTACAGAACATTTTACCCTCCAAATATTTGGCCTACAAATCTCATCAATCCAATTTAACATGGCACATGGCAAAGGATGATGAACCCTACTGGTCAGAATGTCAGTAGACGCTAAGTTTCCTTCTTCTGTGGAGGTGGCTATCATTCATGGGCTAAAATCCACCAGGAAGGTATAGTTATGAGTGCGCCTATTGAATCAGTGGGGATATAATGAGTCAATTCCTCTGTGAGTTCCATTGATTCAGTAGGCCTACTCTAGATACAATTTACCACTAGATTTTAGGCTCTGTAAAGTAAGTTCAGTGTGGACTGGCTATCCCTTTCCCTAATCTCTTTAATGGTTTTCTATTTACACTTAGCTTTTTTCCTGCCTTTGATAGGAGACAAGGAACAATGAAGAGTCCTCTTACCCAACCATTTCCCATGGCCATTTCCCTGTACTTTCCATAACAAAGGACAGTGTGCCACTCACTATTAAGTAACAGTTGCTGCCATTTTGCTGTCAAATTCATGCCCTTAAACACATTCTAAACACAACATCTGGAGAATAAAAGATTACTCACCACAATATAAATATCAATGTGAAACATGACTCCTGTTTTTGCTGAGGAAAAAAAGTGTACTAGATTTTTGCTCTGTGTGTGTGTGTGTGTGTGCACGTGCGCGCGCACGCGCGCAGGCGTGCAGGCGTGCAGCCTTAGCCTACATTATGGTGTCCACAGACAGGAAAAATAACACCAACATAACATCTCTATCCTTTCTCTGTCTCCTATAGGGTTGAAAATATGGTAGGAAGAGAAATATTTTTGTGCAAGCTGAAGAATCAGGTTACATCTCCAGATAGAATGCTAGTTGTAGTTTGTGGAGAGGCTGGATCTGGGAAAAGTGTAATCACAGCAAGGGCTAGTTCTTTGGCTTCTAAGTGGATTTCAGGGTAAGACCTTCTCATGTTTGTTGTCGATAGCAATACAGAATTTATGCAACAGATGGGATTATGTTGGCTGAAACCATTTCAAGTCTTTGTAGTTGTAAAATAGCTGGAACACATGTAGTTCTCTGTTAAATTAAAAGTAATTAATAATGAACTTAAAGCTAAAGAAAATATCTTGGGTAGAAATAATGAGGACAAAGCCAGTACAGTTTGCTGTTCCCATCACTGGTTTCTAGGTGCTGCCCCCTCCTGTCTTTACTCCTTGTGACTTCCTCTGGTTTGGATCATGAATACCGTGGAACAGAAAATTGTTCCAATTCGAAAAAATATAGAAATAGAGTTGATTTCTCCTACACACTTTAACATTGAACACACACACCCATTTGATCTTCAGAGGTTTTTTTTTCTTCATTTAAATATCAGTTTGTATAGATTGCCCATCAGCATGCACTTCAAATGCAAAAATGACAGTAAGACACAATGAGCAAAATCTTGTTGGGGTAAATCAGATCCAGGTGCCAGAAATAATAAATTAAATAATTGACAATATTGGTCAATAATAATTAATTAAAACAAATTGAAAGCTTCCTATGCTCCCCCCCCTTCAGTGAATTTTGAAAAAGTCTTCATCCAGGGCAGAAAAGACCATGAAGACAGCACCAGGGAAGCCTTCCTAGCCTGGCTATTGCAGCTGAGAAGGCTCTCATCATAACACCAATCAAGCTCACGTCACTTGGTAGAATACATGGAACAGGGCCTCTGAAGAGGATCCTGATGGTTGGAGAGATATACAGTATGTGAAGGGAGCCTGCCTTTAGAGTTTCAAACAGCATTTTAAACAGCAGATTGGGACTCAGTGCAGGTTAAGTACAGCATCAACCAGATTGTATGTCAAATGCACTTATGCATTTAGAGATGAGAAGGCGGTTGAGAGACAGAGTAATGTCAAAATATTTTATGATTGTGAGAAAGGGAGCTCTGACATTTTGTATGTTTCATTTCAACACAGGAACCTCAGAATTATAATTCGATTTATTGGTCTCACTGGTGAAAGCAAAAATATTCGTCTGCTGCTCTTAAGCCTTTGCTACCAGATAGCTGATGTATACAATGTTTCTGTTAATTTGTCCCAGGTAACACACTAAATTTTGCTTTTATTTTAAAGCTTGGGTGATAACAAATTCATATTTATGATATCACTCCTCATTTTGTGCATAACGCAACATAAATTTGAGTACTCTGAATAAAGGGAGCCAAGAATTAATTCCAGCATTATCCTAACAGTGTTGATCAGATCATGAAGGCACAGAATCCAGATATTATTTTCTGAGTGGATGATCCATGCTGTCAGAACTGACAGTACACATTATCTGTTCAGCTCAGACAATTGAGGGAATTCTTCAGGTCTCCGATTGCTGATGATGCTGTGCAAATGCCCATTCTTGTGCAAGAGCAACTCTGAGTTCATCAGGCATAGTGTTGATAATAATCTTCCATAAGAGCTATTTGCTAATATATTTTTAATATTGTTCAGTCTGTTGGGCATCGCTTTGCTTACACTCTTCTATTTTATTTTATTTTATTTCAGCTGTGTTGCCTTTTTGTCTCAGTACTGTAACCTTTAACAATAACTATTCTTTCTAACTCCTTTCTCTCTCCTTGTGAGAATTTGTCCAAATCTATACCACTTCTGCACAAGAAGGCAGTTATCAGCAGATTTGGGATAGTCTGAAGATTTATAGGCACATAAAAACCTTACACAACCTGCTGCTGGCACTGTAATTCCCTGACCTCTTCAGACAAAAACCTTTTCAAGTTGGGCTGACTGTTGGCAATGGTGAAATTGCTGAAACGAATTAGTGAAGAAGGATATTTTTTTATCTTTTCTGAGGAAGAAAAAGCTTTGATGGATGTAAGGAGTAATGGAATAGAGCTGACAGGAGGAGTGATGAAAAACAGGAAAGAGGGGAAATAGATATTATAGACAAAAGCAAAATAAAAAGTAAAAAAAGACAAAAACATGTTGGCACCTGAAAGATTAACTTGTGTATTTTTTTGATGTAAGCTTTTGGGGACAAGTCCACTTCATCAGACTGAGAGAAAGAAATTTAACATAGCGAGTATTTATACATGGCATCAAAATATAAATATCAAATACAGAGATTGTGGTTGGTTGGTGGGAACGTCAGTGGGTATATAACATTGTGGTGACAGCATATTTGTTATGCAGGTCTTTCATTGAAGCTTGTGCTGTAAAGAACGTGAGAACCTCTGTCATAAAATAACAATAGTAGAGTAACATGAATGTTACTTAGATTGGCTGTTTACAGGAAATAGATAGGAATAGTTGAATTAAGGAAGAAGAAGTAGAAAGAGTTTAAAAGAGTAACTAGAACCATCTCATTGTCTGGACAGGTCATTTATTTCCTGGCTCATACAGAATGTTTGCAGGAATAGAAGCATGACTGAGTGCTGTCCATAAATATCAGTGAAGGAATCAAATATTATGTAACTGAAATGTGGGCACAATTATGTTCACCCATTCTCTGGCAGGGGGTGGAGTGAAATACAGAATGGAAAAACCAAACCCCCAATTTGAGGGGGAAATTCTGGAATACAGCCTGCATTTCAGCATTGTGTTAGGAGGGTTTCACTTGTCTTTTAAGAGTAGCTTTTAGGCCTAATATAAATCAGAGAGGGCACATTAACTTCTTGGGATTCACTCAAATGTTTTCTGTTTCTCAAAAAGGATTTTGGAGCATTGGCAGAAGAGTTTCTCTCTTTACTGGAATTTGCTACACAGGACAAGCCACTTTTAATATGTTTGGATGGTATGGATGATTTATCAGAGGAATATGATGCTGACTTTTCTTGGATACCTACTGAATTACCAAAGAATGTATATATTATTGTTTCCACATGTACTGAATCAGCTTTCTCGTGCTTAAGAAAACTGGAGGTATAACTATCTTACTAGCCTGTTTTCCACATCATACGTTCTCGAACAGTAGGAAGTTCCAAGGCAGCTTGTCAGAATCACTCTACCCATTCTGCCACAAGTTTGAATGCATATGGATCCTGCAGCACAGGACGTTAGGGATTTGGCAGTCACCATCCCATCTGCAAAGAAAAGTAAGGAGACTGCGTTGCTTGAACAAGGCAAAGTGGGTAGATCAGCTGGGGATACTGGATGGACACTCAGGCTTCCCTTCCCTGCAGGAGGCTACACACTGAGTGCCTCTGGACATGTGCTTTGGAGATGAACACGACTCTATTCTGTGTCAAGGATGGGCAATATGTGGACCATCTGGGGCTATATTTGTGGCCCTCAGCATCCCTGCCCCCAAATTAAAAACTGTTCTGCTCAAAAAGATACCTTGAACACTTTGGGGAGCAATTTTGCCATGCTTTGAGCATCTTCCAAGACCCCTTGAATAGTCCCCAAATCATTTTAAAAGCATATTTTAGTCACTAGAGGGCACAAATGGAATTTTCCAGTATACCCCCTCATCTTTTTTAATTAAACCCGTTTTAAGTGAGTGAAAACCCAGTGTAGCAATGTTTATAGTATATGAGCACTGCATTCTTTTTTTAAATGCATTAATATGCCAGTTAATCTCTTTGGTCCTGCCCTTTTGAGACTGTGGCACTTAGGCTGCCACCAAATCTGAAAAATCTGAAGGGCCTTCAACCCTTCTATGGTCCCCCACCACTGTTCCGTGTAGATCCCTCTGCATGCAGATTCTGCATTCACAATGAGCTGGATCAAGTCCATACTGTTTGTATAGTATATTTCTACTAATAGGTTGCATAGGAGAAAGCAAATTGTTGTCCCAAAGTAGCAGCAGCAGCATGAAGACTCTTCCAGTTTATAACAGCTTTTCTCCTTTAGCTAGTGCAAACTGCTGCATTTACTCTGCTGGCATGCATATATTTTCCACCTAGAAAAATGTTCAAAATGCTTTGGCTACCTACGACTCCATGAAGTAGTTGTGTATTACACATTCCAGGAGGCTGGAACAGCCAAGTGGCTCTTTATACTTCATTAATTAGGACTGCACTTTTCACCAAAGTGACTAGCTTCACAAGAAAAAAAAATTACATTAGAATTTCAAAAATCAGATGCGTCTATGAGGCCCAAACCATAAATATGTGAATTTAGCCACAAAGGAAGGTTGGGTTAAAGCAAGAGCAAAAGTCACCTGCTTCTGTGTCTTATCTGCTTTCCAGAAACTTATTTTTCACAACGTGCCTTTGATACCAGAACTAAGCCAGGCTAGGAAGAGGACTGTGTCAAAGACAAATACTGTAGTAATTTGTTGTAATTGTGTTAGCAGAGTGCACCAGGCTATGGAAGCCAATAAAAAAGTTATGCCAGCATTAAGTTCATTGGTGTAAATTTCAGCAACAAGTTGTTGCAAATTAAGTAGTCAGCATGGGCATTTGCTATTGTGTGCTGAGTCATGTGACTGATGTATGACCACAAATGTCTATGCTGTTTTATCAACCATAGGGAATTTGCTACTGTGATTTACACCAAATGATTTTAAATGGCAGGCATAAGGAATAGGATACTGGCCAAAGTTAATTAGGAATAATGGCCATGAATTAGGAGTGATCAGTTAGGATGGTCATAAGGTTGTTGTTATGTACTGTCAACTTGCCCTTGATTCATGACAACCCCATGAATGAGCGATCTTCAGAATGCCCTGTCCTTAACAGCCCTGCTCAGCTCTTGCAAACTCAAGTCTGTGGCTTCCTTTGAGCTAGGACTTATCTGTTTGTCTTTCTGGCAGTCAAGGGTACCTGCAAAGCTCTCACCTTTCCTAGCATTATTGTGTTTTCCAGAGAATGTTGTCTTCTCATGATGTGTCCAGAGTAGAACAATCTCAGTTTCAGCACTTTTCTTTCCAGAAATGGCAAAAAAGAGATGGGTTTGATTTGAGCTAGGACCTATCTGTTTGTCTTCCTGGCAGTCAAGGGTACCTGCAAAGCTCTCCTCCAGCACCATAGCTCACACTAATCAAAATTTTCCTGTCAACTTTCCTAACTGTCCAGCTTTCACACAAAAATTGCATTTATTGTCCCAAGTGAATGGGTTTGATTTGAGCTAGGACCTATCTGTTTGTCTTCCTGGCAGTCAAGGGTACCTGCAAAGCTCTCCTTGAGCACCATAGTTCACACTAATCAAAATTTTCCTGTCAACTTTCCTAACTGTCCAGCTTTCACAAAAATTTGCATTTATTGTCCCAAGAAGTCCATTCTGGATAAAACAAAATAAATCCAAGAGATGAGCAAAGGAACTAGGACCTTTGTGTGCAAAAGAGCTGAATGCAGACATCTTTAGGCCTGGCCAAATCTATTGCAAATGAAGGGAAAATTATTTCCTTTAAAAATAGTGGAGTGAGCTAAGGAAGAAGAGATCAGCAATAAAGGTCAGGATAGATAATATACCAAGGCCCATCCAACAGACTATTAATTTATATCCGGTGCTGGTTACTTTAAATACTATGTTGCTGCACTTATTTTAACAAGACAAAGGACAAAAGTGGTTTTACTTCCATCCAGCCCCCATTCTAAAATGAAAGAATCTTGCTTGGCCATGCAGTCAAATCATCATCCACAATTAGTAAACACAGGAAACATTAGTAAATTAGTAAACATTGCTCATAGTCCTGAATCTCTGTTGAAAACCTGAAGATCAGAATTAAGGAACACTGAGGAACAGTGCTTGGGAAGTTACTTTTTTAGACTCAAGTTCCCAGAATCCCACAGCTACCATTGCCACTGGGAGTTGGAGTCCATAAAAGTGATATTTCCAAGATCTGCTGAGGAAACTGATAAATGAAAAGCAATCTGCCCCACCAGTCCAGCTACTGGATAAACAGCATCAGAAAGTTTACCTTGAACTGCATGCGTTTTAGTTCTGATATTTTAGGTAGGCTTTGTTGTATTTGTTTGGCAAAAGTGATATTGACTCATTTTGCTTTTCCTCAGCCTTTGAGACAATGTGATAAGTGGGATGTGCTTATTTTATTCAGAAAATGACAAAGAAAGAGAATATTCTACAAATACCTCCTTTGACGCTTGGGGAGATCAATGAGATGATCAGCTCTTGGCTGGAAAAAGATCACCGAAGTCTCACCAAAGGCCAGCATGATCACTTGATGGAAGCATGTGCAACCTGCCCGCTACCACTGTACACGTGCTGTGCTTACAAGGAGTCTTGTTCGTGGACATCCTTCAGCCCCCAGACAGAGATGTTTCTTCCTCAAACTTTACATGACATGTATTCATGGACTCTGGGCAGAATGGAAAAATTGCATGGGGAACAGGTTCTAAAAAGGATGGCAGCTTATGTGACACTTTCAAGAAATGGTATAACTCAGAAAGAGCTGCTTGACCTCATGTCTATGGATGATCTGGTACTTCAGGAAGTTGCTAAATTTCAGACCGCCTCCATTCCAGCATTCCCTCTGGTACTGTGGTTGAAGCTTTTGGATGATTTTGGAGACGACATAAGAGAGCAAAGAACAGACAACACGTACGTCTTTACTTGGGCTCATAAATCTCTGAAACAGGTCTGCCTGGAGAGATATCTCAAAGCACAAGATTTCCAGCTATCACTACATGCCACCTTTGCAAACTACTACTTGGGGAGAATTTCACATAAACTGAATAAATGTAGTGAACTGTCTACATTTCAGCCTCTGGCCTGGACACTGGAAAAAGAAACCAAGAAAATCCACTACACTTTTAATATTCGTAAGCTCTTTGGGACTCCGTATCACCTCATCAAATCAAAGAATATTACTGTTCTAATGAAAGAATGTCTGTTTAATTATGAGTTTCTCTTGCACAAATCTTGGGCTTCATCTGTTATCAGTGTTGAAGAGGATCTAAGAGCAGCTGTCAAGGCAGACAGGTGGGTTCACAACAGCAGAATAGAACTGGAGATGTTTAAGCCATGACAAACACATCCATGCAGAGACCTCTGATTTATTCATTGCACCCACAATTTTAACATCACCCGATATGAGAGAATATATAGAACTTTTAAAGAATTGACTCCAAGTTAAAATGACATTTGAATAAAGCAATGGTAGGGAACCTCTGATCCTCCAGAAAGTGATGTGCTCCAGATACCATCAGCCCCAGCCGACATAAGCAGTCACTGATGTGGTTATCCAGAACCACAGGTTCTTTGGCTCAGTGGAGGCCAGGAACAGATGCAACATGCTGAGTGGTCTTGTTAAAATGTATGGAAAATTTAACAAAAATGCAAAGCAAGTAACATAACAGAAAAGAAATGGGATTAGAAAGCAGAAAGAGAGAAAAAAAAGGCTAGCCTTACAAAAATACATTTCACCACCACAATAATTTGACATTCCCCTGTTGGATTCTCCTTCAACTAAAGAGAGTGTGTGTAACCACAACTGTATAATTAAATGTGTAGGTCAACCTCTGTGTAAGAGAGATAAGGACAGGGAGGGGATGGCTCCACGGTTATCTAACGTCTCAGGAAAAAACATCTTGCCTTGTGTGGAAAGACAGACTTCTGCTTTATTATTGATTATAATCTGTCAAAGGGTCAACTCCCAAAGATATCAGTTTTGGTAGATGCTTGAAAGACGTCCTTTGCTTTATTCTGAGCTAAACTAATGCAAGGGGTTCAAAAATAGGAATATTACTGACAGGGAACTAAGAATTGTATAGAAATAAGGATTTTTTATTCATTACAGTCAGCATGGATGTTTTTCTACCTGAAAACCACTTGAGATACATCTAATGCTTTGTTAATATGTGAGCAAAGAAATTAAAACATATAATGCTGTGTTGCTTTCTCCCTTCCAACAGGACTGTACCTGACTTAACTTTATTAAGTGAAGCTCTCAAGTTATCAAAAAATATTTTAATACAAGACCCATGTCAAATGGCTTCACAGCTTACAGGCCGCCTTCATCATATAGTAGCAGCAGATAAACCTGTGGCCCCAGGTATTATACATTATGAGGCAAACTCATGTTTTTACATTTTCTTTTTTAAAAAACACAAACTTTTATTAGTTTTTCAGTCTATTTACATTCAATTCATGCTTGTTAAACATCATGTTACATAGGTTGTTTATAATTATTTGTTTTTGTATCTTGGTGTCTTCTTAGTTGTCCCTTCAAAATCTATACATTTTTAAAACATTTAAACCATTCACATATCTTAGTATACAATATTGGCTACTATCATAATATTGCTCTCATAGTATACAGTGTTTTCAAAATCCTCTAATAACATACCTAATAACATTTATTAGTTCCAAATTTATATAATTTCGAGGTGATTTAACCAACGAACCTTGTATTTTTTACCAGTAATAACTGAATAGGTTCCTAACATAATATATGTTATCTAGAGCATTTTATCTAGAGTGGTCGACCAGACCAGATGGGCGGGATATAAATTGAATAAATAAAATAAATAAATAAATAATACAGATTTTCTTTATATAATTGTTTAGCCATTTCTATCTCCACATTTTATCATATATATGCACAGTACAGTGGTGCTTCGCATAGCGAGGTTAATCCGTTCCGGATTAACCTTCGCTATGCTGAAGCATTGCTGAACGGGGCAGGGATTTCCATGGTTTAATGCGTTCCAAATGGGCCAAATACTCACCGTTCAGCGATGCTTCAGGATGGCCGGCAGCCATTTTCGCGCCCTCG